CGGGAATAAATGACAGGCTTCCATTTTCAAGCTAGTCTGTGTATATAAAAGATCTGCATATAAAAATTTAGATTATTCTAAGAAGGTTAGAATCTCTAAATCTTTAGAGGTTTTCAGGTAATGAAGCATTAGCACAAGTTGGAAGTCTTTCCAGAGACTGTAACACCAGGTAGCAACAACTGGCAAGGTGATCTCACGAGATGACCTTCCTCTTTGTAGCCTGAAGGAGGATTTCAAAGGCCATTGATTTTGTTTGTTGCAGCTTCTGCTTGTGCCCAGTTCAAAGCCTTATTTTCAGAGCTGCTGAAATGCTCAAAGTAACAGTCCCTGAGAGCCTTTTGAGATGATTTTCTAATTACATACAAAAAGCAAGTGAATTCTTCTGAATTCTTTGCTTTGAAAAACCAGCTCAGTATTCATGGAATATTTTTTTTTTTTTTACTATCAGCTTAGGGGTCTTTGGTTTCTCATTCCATTCTGTGCCTTAATTTAGAAGTTTGCAAGGGAAAAGAACATTTGGGGTTTTGTTCCACCTGTGTTGCTTTCCATGTCTCCAATTTGCATTTCATGCCTAGTGCTTTCATTTCTTGCCTCTCTTCTTTACGTCTCTCTCACATTTCTCACTGCCTGGTCCTCACAAACTGACCAGCATTGTATCCTGTATCAATAAACTACTTATCCATTGACCAGATCATTAGGAAATAAGTTAGCTGTGATTTTGGTATAAAGCCAGACTAGAATCTTAGGCCAGGATTCAACCCACCTCAGTTTAGGCATTTAATTCAGGTTAAAGTCTAAAATCCTTTTCTCTGAGAAGAGTCATCTTGAGAGGTGATTTAACCCACCCCAGAAATGATCAAATCACCTGGTGTGTTCAATTATTATTTTGAGATTATAGTAATAATCACAACTCTTGTGATGGATCTAGACCTTATTCTTGCTGTGAAGAAAACCAGCCAATTTAATCCTAATCCTTTTTTTGTGTGCTCCCAGACTATTTCTTAACACTTTACAACCTTTCATTTTACAGCTGTTTAGTTTGAACTCAAGTTCATTTGTGTGAAATGTAATAGAGAGCTTTTAAGAAGACCAGTAATTTTTGTCATCTGGTCTTGTTTATTGAAATGTTCAAGAAATTACAGATGGGTAAAATGCTTTTTCAATCACTAGTGATTAGACAGTCTTTCCCACTCTCCGTGCCACAGGACAAGGTGACTCTTATGTAGCAGAATTATTAGTATCTCAGCAATTCTGTATTTAAGGTTCTTAGAAACTCTTAAATGTACTTTCTAGCCCTGATACATTGTCTGTTCTCCTCTGTTACTACTTCTTAATACCTCACTGCTCAAAGAGAAATTGTTAGAATGTCCAGAAAAGTAATATAAAGAGCAGACACCTCCTGAATGTATTGAACAAGAAATTTGGATGCAAAAAAAGGACAGTTATTTAGCTTCCAAACAGTTTAATTATCTTCTTTAGCTACTCAGTTAACTTGTACAAATTCTGTTGTTGGCCTCTTGTTTCTGATATACCTAAGGAATATGTTATTGTTTATTTTTAAAATCTTTTCATGTTTGTTCTTGGAAACCTACTTCTGCTCTTTGCAATTTCCTCTTACTTAACGCCTGCTGAAGTTTAAGTTCCTGTTTATTGGCTCCCCTAGGATCATGTTTCCAAAATTTGAAGGATTCCTGTTTGGTTGAAATAGATTCTTGAGCCTTGCCATTCATCCGGTTTAGCTTAATCCTGCCTTCCTGGTTCCCTTTCTTGCACAGTGCACAAGCCTTCAGAGACAGTTCCTTTTGAAGTACTGTCATTTTTGCCTTTGCTGTCTTACAGTTTTGCTTTTAGGGTGTTATGACTTAGCTGAGTTTAGTAAGTGTGTGAATTCCACTTCATTTTTTTACTGCAAAAAAACCCCACACGAGCAACTCAGAAATATGAGCAGAACCCACCAAGAACAAGAGGTAGGACAGAGAAACCAGTAAGATGGGAGAAGGGGAGCAGGGAAGTCCTTACTTACTGTTCCCACTTTTGCTGTATGACTGGCAGTGGAGAGCTGCCTGCAGAATCCCAGCAACACTGAATGTGTCAGGTTCTGCCCTGGTGGCCACCAGGGTTTTCATCCCTGCCTACCATCCACTGCACTGACTGCAGAGAGGCTGTCCACTGTGTCCTACTAACAAGAACCTTATTCTGGACTGGAAAACAGAAGGCCTGGCATATGAAGTCATATCATATCGTAGATCATATCATAGAATAGTTTGGGTTGAAAGGGACCTTTAAGATCATCTAGATCCAACCCCCTGCATGGGCAGGGACACCTCCCACCAGCCCAGGCTGCTCCAAGCCCCATCCAACCTGCCCTTCAACACTTCCAGTGATGGGGCTTCCACAGCTTCCTGGGACAACCTGTGCCAATGTCTCACCACCCTCATAGTGAAGAATTTCTTCCTAATGTCTGACCTAAATCTCCCTTTTTCCAGCTTAAAACCATTACAGACTGGGTACAATTGCTATTGCCACAGATTCCCTGACAAATCCAGGCTCTTGCATTTATTGCTTTGTGAAACCCTGTGAATCTATAGCAAGCCACATCCACCAGCTGAAAGACCAGAACCTCAGATGGCAAGGGCTGTTCTCCAGTTTCTGCTTTTCCTTCTAAGACAGAGCACTGCTTTTCACAGACACATAGTAGCTTCATTAATAGGTAGGAGTTTTGTGCATTAAAGTCATATTTTTCACATTAGAAGCAGAAATCTGTCCACATTAATTAAATACCTATGGAAAACCTCATTGTCTTTCATACCTCTCATTTAAGGTTTTCCTAGGTGATTTTTGAAGGTGCATTCTAAGATATGTGTCCTTCTCAAAACAACAGTGTATAACGTGTCAGCGTTAGGAGCTGAACTGAGAACAGAAGACAAACATCAGGGCCTGAACTTAACAATCCTCTGAATGGACAAACTTTTGCCAGCTGCTCCACAGGATGAGATGACCAGGTTGCTAGACACAAAGCTGCATAGAGGCCCCTTTGCCCAGTAGAATAGGATGGGACCAGCAAATTTGCTGGATTGTCTATAGGATGTCATTCATGTCTGCAGCCCTTTCATCTTCTCTAGGAAGGGAAGAACTTTTCCTAGCTGTGTTCAACATTTAATTGAAAAAGACAGAGCTCTGCAGGCATATAACTGAGATGGGTCTTCTTTGGCTGGCTAAGAATTAGAAACTACTTTCTAGGATTATTTTTTGTCACTTGAGAGCACTGTCTTTGCCTTTTAACATTTGATCCCTGGAGCCATCACTCATCTCTCCAGTGGAGTTCTGTTTCCTTAGGGCACTGCTGGAATTCAGCCAACTCCGTGTTTTGGTCACCACCAAAGACCTATGTGATTGCCATTTCCTTCCCTATCACACATTGTGAGAATGTATTACTCCTGTCTCGGAGCAGTGTCAGACCCAACACTCTCATTAACTATGTGCACAAAACTTTGTTGGTTCAGATTTTTAAAATTTTCAGTCTTTCCATTTTTTTTTCCTGTTTTTCAGGGGAGGATTTAGTATTTTAGAATAATTTCAGTCGCACTAGGACCTGGACATTGAAATGCTTTATGGAAATTTAGCCATTTAGGGTCTTCCATTAGATTTGCAAACTGATGAGAAAGGAGAAGAATATTGCCCTTCATTCCCATGTACAGGTTATGAAAGTCTCTTTGATCCAACAAGCTTAAGGCTTCAGATTGTGAGGACAGGAGAATCTTGGCCATCTTATTAGCACAGTAAGCTGAGTGGGCAGAAAACAAGGGTAAAAGAAGTGCTCATTCTATGCATTGTGGTATCTGCATGTGTCTTCAGTGCAGCACTGATGTCAGATGTCACTGGTGTCACCCCTGTTAAAACTGGGTAAGTGTGAACACCCTTTGGAGGACAGACAGCTCGCTGCCTGCAGACCTCGTTCAGCAGTGATGGTCATGGAGCACCTCTCAGTTCTGCAGTTGAGTACACGAGGTTTATTCTAGTAGCAAAACTAATAAAATCTAAGAGGCATGTGCTTGTTCAAAGCCAGGTTTTGGGCCGTGCACTGGGCTTCCCTCCTGAGCTTCTGTAGGTTCTGTTATAAGACAAGCCAGGCCAGGTGCACACTGTGTGATCCTTCTTTGTCAAACTAACCCACTTTTCAGAAGTGCTTAGTTCCCACTGCTGTCTAATATATGTGGGACCTGCCAGAACTCAACACTTCATTGCATTAGACTGCTTTTAATTAGGTGTCCAAACGTTAGACTCAATCATTTATGTCTCTGAGACAGTATCTTATAGACCACTTGACAATAAGTTGCACAGAGCCATTTTTAACACTTCACATTCCAGAAAGGTAAGGCTGAGACATTTGGTGTCCAGCCCAGTCATGTCTGGGTAAGTACCATCAGTATTGTGCAGGACTGCAGTTTTCAATGGTGCTTGTATTTTCCATTATTTTTATTATTTGTGATGTTGGGCATTGGAATGACTTGTATATTGAAATGTCAATTTAATTGTCTGTTGATTAATAATGTCTTTTATCATATGCTTTGTATTTAAAAGCCCACTCATGCAAACACTTAGTGGGTGGTTTATCATGCTTACCTCTATCTTTCTAAAAGTATGTAGTGAAAGCTGCTCATCAAAGTTCCTCCTCTGGTCAGTAGAGAGAGGGTTATCATCATGGGCTGACTCAGAAGTCTGTAAGATAGATGGATAGAGTTACATTCCAAAGGTGTCTTTCTCTTTCTACTGATTGTGGAATTGATTAATTCAGATTACTTTATTTAGTCTATATGCCTGTTTAATAGTTCAGTTATGTGAAATAAATTCTGCCTTTCTGTCAGTGGGATCCTTTTCAGCGGGATTGTCAATTTGGTGACTACTCTAGTTGCCTTACCTTTCTGCAAGGTTGGGCCTGCATTGTTTTTCCTAAAAGATTTTCTGTGTACTTACATGATTGCATGTTTCTTTTTCTGCAGCCAACATCTTGTACTTGGCAAGCCAAGAAATGATTAAGGTTGTGGAGAGAGACAGTACAACCATAAAGCAACATTTAAAGAAGGTAACTGTTTATTCTCCAGATTTTTCATGTGCATTGAAGTATTACATCCAGTTATATTTGTGCAAAAACCAGAATTTCAGCAGGCTTGATTCTGCTTTTGTGTTAGTGTCATTCCATTGACTTTGGAGAAGCCATTAAAGGGGTTACTGATCATTAAAATGTCATTGATCCACACCTTTGCAGGTGTCACACTCACCACTACCAGATGGGGTGTCCCAGCTGGCAGGTTTTCCTGGGTGGAAGAGAAACAGTCTGTGTTCTGGCTAAGCCTGGGATGTGGTTTCCATGAAGCCAGTAGTTCCTGGGTTCTGATCAGACAGGCAGATGGCCAGGCAGGACATGAGTGCAGGCTGATTGACCAAGTCCTCTGACTTCACTGCTGGACAAGGTCAAGCAGAACATGTACCATCTGTGTTGTGCCTTGTCAGTGAATATCAGGGCATTCTGCAGGCTTGATTTTTCCATGTCATCAAAACATAAGAGAGAGGAGTCAGCAGAATTATTATAGCTCCCCAGTTTCAGCTATTTGTAGTGTGAGAGAAAGATAAGATACAGAAAGATGCATTCCTCTGAGACTGGAGCAACTGCTGCACAAGTGAATGAAGTCATTTTGGAGACCTTTCTCCTGCACTGAACTTTCTGTATGGGTTAGTTGTTGAGAGGGATCCTGGAACAGTTCTGGTCTGGACTAATAGTATTCTCCCAGTCAATTCCCAGGCACAGTTCAGGGGTTGACACAGGCCAGGAACTTTTCCTAATTAGAGTTTTGATGTGGTCACCCTGTTTTGGAGGCTGAGAGAGCTTAACAGTGTGGCCATGATTGGACAATTCCAGATGGCTTATGAGCCAGCAAACAGTCACATTTAATAAACTACTATTGGTGTGGCTTCTGTGTGAGTAAATAATCAGTATAAAATATTATTCTACTGTGTCCCCTTCCTTCCCTCCAGTTTTTGGTATTGTTTCTGTCTTTTTGCTTTTTCCAGCACTTTGCACTGGCATAGATTTTCCTTGGAGAATGGAATTTCTAGGACAGAGGTCCTGGATCTCTGTAGGTTTTTTTTGTGCCTCATAAATAGATGTGGTACAAAGTTCATTTCATAAATCAGCCTTTTTTTTTTTTTTTTTTGCCTGAAAATGGGTTTATTTTTTTAGTTACCCCGTTTGCCTTCTCTGCACTTGGAAAGGTATGTTCAGATGTTTCAGTTCTAGCTTTTTTAAAGGAGTTGAAATAACACACAAGGACAAGGGACACTGCACCAGGCATGCCTGGTTTTTCACATTTTTGCTGCAGAGCATTCAAAGTTCTCCTGCACCTTGGGGGTTGAATCTCAGTGAAGAGACTGAGGGGCTAATCTTGCAGACTGCAAAGAGTCTCATTGTCTTTAAACAAAATTTTCAATGGGTTGATCTAAAGCCAAATTGATTGAAGGAGAACTGACTGAATCAGCCCTCTGAGTGTCAGGGGGCTGCAGGATCTGCCTGTTCCCTGTGGGAGAGGGAGCTGGGAGCCACGGGTGACCCCAGCAGGCTCCAGTCCCACAGCACCCAAGCAGGGCAAGGTAACAGTCCACGCACTGTCCCAGACAAGGCAAAGCAAAGAACCAGGTCCAGCATCCCTCCCAGCCAGGAGCAAAAGGAGACAGGGCCAGAGTAAGGCCTAGAAACACGGGTACAACGTGGGTCCAAAGTCCATCCAGGAGGCACAGCCAAGGTGGTGAGAGAGGGCAAAGCTGCAAGGTGGGATCCAGCCAGGTGACAGGCTGTGTAGGTCTGATGTCAGCCTGGGGCACAGGGCCAGAGATAGGGCTGGAGACACATACTGCTGCCATGTAGTTTGAGAGGCAGAGGCTGCAGGTGAAGGAGAGAGATGGAGACACTGGACCCATGGGCAGGGAGTGTGAGTCAGTGCTGAGCCCTCTTAGTGCCCTGAAATGGAGAGTCAGGCTGCAGGGAACCACGTGAGGGCACAGAAGTGAAGAGTTTGCAGGAGCAGGGCTTCAGGTGCTTTTGGAAATTGTAATCATAAGCAAACAAGCTTGAAGTCAAGCATTAAAATTTTGTTGTATGAGGACAATAGTGGTGACAAGCTGCTGCAGCTCCAGTGACTCCAGGTGATCTACTCAGATCCTTCACACTAGAAGAAAAGCTTTTTTATATATCCTGAGTGAAAGCCCATAGCCAACAGTGAGAGTTTGCAGGTGTCCCAGGCTGCTTCATCTGTGCTTTTGCTGACTCTGTCAGTCTAAGCATGGTCTTGGCAAGCAGGAGCTTTTTTAAACCTGTGTTAACTTTCTTTTATTGATTCTTCTGTGTCCTCATACATCTGAAGTGGCAAACATACTGAAGAAAACAAAAAGCTGAAGCAAACTTATAAGCAGTTGGTAGACTGAAGACAAAGCAAGTCTAAAAATGAACCTAAATGCTTCTCTTTTCTCCTCTTGTAGTAATTTCTGGGAATGCAAGAATTAAATAAAAAAATTTAATTTGCCATGATGTGAAATCTGAATGGTGTTGACAACAGAAATGGGCTTAGCTTATAAAGGCTGGAAGTTTATAAAAATACAAAAAATAGTCCAAGTTGCTATAGAACTGGCAAGATGTCACTTCAAAAAATTTATACTCTTTAGTAGTCACTGTGATCATATGCTAAAAGCCAGTCTTAACACCTGACTTTGCCAGCTGCTGTGGAATAGAAAATTATTTCTGGATCTTATTTGCATTCTGTGATCTGAAGAAGAAAGAAGAGACACTAAATTGTTCCACTCTT